GAGACGAGTCTGCTATAGTAGCATTTAATTAACAGCAAACAGGAAAATATTCAACTACTTTCAAAAAGAAAAGAAAAATAAAACTATATTGACCACCCAAGAGTTACCCGAACCAAATACCCACCGAAGAGAAAAAGAAAGACCCAAAATAACTCGTAGTATACAACTGCCGTCGATACATGATTTCAAACCCGTGAGTGAGAAGGTGTTCGGAAATACATATTGAACTTGACTACACTCTTACAAAGGGCATAAAAGACTTTTTTTTCTTCCCCGCGCGCGTGTAAAGCAAACCGAGACAAGAGCCGTACTTAAAAGTTAGTAATTTCTCCGCACATTCCCCCATAGGAGATTGGAGCGTAAAGAGCCCCTCAAAACGAAATAAAAAGGAAAGAAAAAAAAGACCCAAAACAACTCCGGTTTACAGCCCCCTGTTATTGTCTCCAACTCTTAAACATTGCTTTCCTAGTATAAGAATACTAGTCAAATACGCATACGCCACATTTTCCGGCCTAAAACGTATCGTCTCTTTTGTTATAGAGCGTCTCCACCGTGATTAGTATTATGTCCTCGTCAAAGTCTAATTAGTCGCTCTATCCTCAAAGCCCGGGACATCCAAGCCCATCCCCATATCTGCAGTCGGTGCAACATCAGTTGGCGAGTGGTTCTGTGGCGATTGGCTTGTGTCATCCATCATGTTCACGCCAAGCTCTTGGCCATCCATTCTCTGCATATCTGGCGTGTCCATGCCTCGTACGTTGCCAAGTGCTGTGATAGCATTGACATGGGCGATATCCTCACTTGAACTCCTCTCGTCCCCCTTTTTGGCGGCATTTTTGGCAGCCTGACCTGGTGCACGAGTCTTTAATTCTCCTGTTACAAACTGGAGGTAGTAAGGAACCTCGATACCACTCTTAAGGAAAAAGAGTTTAAGATTGCGCGCCTTATCTTTAAGTTGAACTTGGTTGCGGTCTTTGAGCATCTCATTGACCGTTCCACCAGGACCAAACATTGCAAGAATTTGGCTCCAGTGAGGGCCTTTTACACGATCAAGACCGGCCATGAGTGCATTCTCTTCATCAGTTGACCACGGGCGACGTTGCGATGGAAGGCCTGCACGACGGGAGCTGGGAGAAGCCTTGGCAGTAGCGGCAAGGCGGGCACGTTCGTAGAGAACTTGGGTGGGTGCCGACTGTTGCGGGATTGGAGCCTGAGCAGGAGGGGCACCAAGCGACATGGCAATCGAGGTGTTCGAACCAAAGAGCTCAGCCTCGAGATTAACCTGTGCGGGAGTTACCGCTTCAGGGTTGATAGGGGGCTGAGGAGCAGTTTGGAGCGAGTTATGAGTTGCCAGGGCAGAAACATTTGGAACATCAAGATTCTCTATGTGTGTATTTGGTTGATTCATCATTTGTTGGTGATGAATAGGGGGAGGAGGAGGGGTTTGGTGGGACATCGGTGGGGGTGGAGTACGTTGCGCACCCGACGACTTTCTTTTACGTGCTCTCCTCATCTAGCATAGAGTTAGAAGTGTATACAATGGGGGATAAGAATTCAAAATCTTACCGGCGCAGATACTATTACTTCGTAATTTTTGCTGACATACCAGCTGACCTCTTTTAAAAAGTCTTGCCAGACATATTTCTCGCTGAGGTTAACATCATCAGAAATGTGCATAAGATGCCCTTTTCTTTGAATCAGCCGAGCAACAAAATCAGCTTCGCTAGGGGTCAAAGCCTTTGCTCCAGGTCGTCTATGAAGCAGGATCTCTTTCATATCGTCAGGAAATAAGTCCGTCAATATTTCATCTTTCGCCCGCTCATTTGTGGACATAGCTGAGATATATGCTTGTGTCTTCAAATCGAGATATAAAGCGCCTTGTGACTTTAGAAGGCGACCTCCATCGGGAACGAAGGTATCTAGGAAATGTTCATTCAAATGAAAAAACCCAACTTCCTGCGAACCGAAAACGGATGAAACGAACGTCGCAAGATTAACTTTGCGCACAGTAGTGCGTTGTTCAGGAAGATCGAGCTTTAAATCGTCCGCACTAAGGAATGCCTCGGGAGTATAAAGCTTTTTTGTCTGATCGAAAAGTGACTTCATCGTGAAATAGGCCTGTCCCTGGTCGGACTCAGGCTGGGTCACGATGCTAAGTGTTTCCTGGTATGGCCCTTTGCCGAGTGTTGTCAGGATTTGAGAGGACTAGTACTGATAATCAGCACGTTGTTCAAAGTCCGAAGGGAAATAATCATTAGGGTAGGTCCTAACATACCAAGTTGTCTAGGATGGGTAAGCTCTGTATTCTCAGGTTTTGGTTCGCGTCCCATAACATGCAGCTCGGATCGCCGTAGCTCAGGTTCCAAACGTTAATATGATTGAGGTGCTCATTCTCGTGGTCAGACTCATCCAATTCAAACTCGTGTTCAAGGCCGTCGTCTTCAAGCGAGCCGTTCTGGCTACCATCATGCTCATGATGTTGGTTTTCGTACTGACTTTCTGAACCAGGCTGGCCAGTCTTATCTGCAAAAACGGCAGCAACGTCTCCGATGTTTTGAATATGCGACTCGGTTACATCACCCTGCATTTCATGAGTGTTCACAACGGGTACGGCTCCGTCAATATGTTGTGTTTCAAGGCGTTGACGTTTTGCCGGGGGCGGTTCGTATGAGGGCTCAAATGTTGAAGGCCCATTAGCATCATTGTGCCCATCCGGGCGTTTCTCCCAGGAATTCGGGGCATTAAAAGAAGCATTAAATGCAGCGATTGAAGATAACGATGGATCAACCGACTCAAGCTCTAAAGGAATGAAGGGTTAGGTTAAATATCTAATCAAGAGGCTGCAGGATGTCGGGGATAGATATGGGCGAGGGTGTCGGGGAGCGGGGTGGTTGGGTGTGGAGAAACAGATTGGACTTCAAGGAATTTGGGCGAAAAGAAATGAAAAGAAAGGAAGGATCAACACGATTAATGTGAGCTAAAGGACAGAGTAATCACATACCAGTTGTAGTTGTGAGCTGCTGGGGGTCCTGTATTTGTTCTTGCTCCTCAGTAGGCGGTGGGAGGGAGTTCTGCTGTGACGTCGAAGACATAGTTTTTGGATTTGGGATTTTTTTTTGTGCTGGCTGCTTGCCCTCTGATTGAGCCCGAAGCCCTGTGTGTAAAATATTGTGAGAGAGGGTTGAGGGCGAAAGAGGAGGGCAAAGACCAGAGACAACCGTGGGGTCGGTGACAGGGGTGTACCAGTTGTTCAGGATAATACAATAGCTTTGTAGTTGCTGATCAGGCGAGTTATCTCAGGGTAACGACAACCATTGGCGTAATTCATAGCTCATGCTACTGAAGTGTCTAAATATAGATATATTTACAGTATGTAGTATAATTTTGTAGCATCGAGTATTGCTGGATTTCGTAACAGAAATTTCTCCAAGCAGTTATGATTTAAACTGCATGTAGGGTTGCGGTGGTCTTGCTAGCAAAACTCTACTCTCTGGCTGCAGTTGCCTCTAGAAATCCGCTATATATCGTAAAGTACCTGTAGTTTCCGGAGTCCTCAATTGGTAACAACCAAGCATCAGCAGTCCTGAGCTAGAATGCTTAGATTATATCAGTATATACTCACTCGTTAATTAAAAGGTCGGAAGTCGCTGCAACCAAATCCTCACACAGAATTCCGGCCTTTTAATTAATGCGTGAGTATACCAGTACATATATAGAAAAGAAGGGAAATTGAGAAATTACCATGCAAGAATTATTGCAGAAACTGGGGAGTTTACATGATCATTCCATATCGTTGCCACGAGGGACTCCGGGAATTACTTAGACACACGTACACGGCTCGTCAATTCCACACTACAATAGGCTCCACATTGAGATTGTGCCCGAACGTACCTGTAGGAGTTACGCCTTGGACAATTTGTATTTGAGAGATTTGAGAGTCGAGTAAACATCTCCTCCTTTATACTAGCTACATGTAATTTATGACAACAACGTCGCGTGTGGTGACCACCTGTTCCAACTAGCTATTATCCATTGGGACTAGTCTAACGCCAGTCGTCTCAAGTTGTCACTTATTACACTGCCCGTACGCTCCAAATTTTTGCCACCGCTCACCCTGGCACCCCCCTCGGCCAAATAATTAACGTAACTTAGAAATCTGAATGTCTTCTATGTTTCATGAACTATTTTCTGGAAGTCTTCTGAGTCGATAAGGGTTAACTAAGCCTACATATCCCTTTGGCCGTCACTTTTTAATTGTTAGGGCCTACCAGGCCCGATTATAATTAGGCGATTATATTAGTCGATACGTTAGGGAATTATCACGAAAAGCTGCCCGGCTCAGAGACCACAAAAAGACAGAACGTTCCTAATTGGTCCATTCCTACCTGATCGGGCCTGGTAGGCTCTAATAATTAAAAAAGTTACGGCCAAAGGGATAGCATAAAGAGGTTATATGTGGGTCGTTCGTTAATATTGGGCTTTTTTCTCTATATATTTAATGCTTGAGATTGGTCGGTAGATATCGACGAGTGATATTTTATGATTTAATATTGTTGTTGGGAATACCTACGTATACGTCAGTGTCAGACTACACACATACATCTGGCGATAGTCGGTACGCACTCAGTAAAATGTAAGGTCATTATATACATATAGATATGGTATTGTTTTCACATTTAATGCAGTGACCAGTCAAAACTTTCCTGTGCTAAAGGGTTTTTACAACCCAGTAATACATGTAGTTATATCATATCGTTCCGGAAAGTCGCCTTTAGATAAGAAAAAAAGTCGTAGATGTAATATTAGGTTCAAGCAAAGCTTATTATATTTATTACTAAGCTACGTGTAGTTAAAGTCTTTTGATACCAGTCTCATTTTCCGCCAGCACCTCCTGGATGAAAAAACTACTAGAATGCTGCAACTACTACTAATTACCAGGCATGCCTCGACATATTGTCTCTGAAGTCTACCGAGGATAAATCAACCTGCTGATTTGCCCTTTAATCTCCTCCAGCACCACCGCTGGTGTTAACAGCCGCATTCGCATTGGCAGCCCCTCCTCTTCCTTTCCCACCACCGCCCCTACCCCTTCCACCCCTAAACCCACCTCTTCCGCCTCCTCCATCACCGCCTCCACTATTACTACCCCTCCGTCCCCTACCCTGCCTACCGCCACCACTACCACCACCACCAGGCCCATTTGTATCGGCAGCAGGAGCAGTAGGAATCCCTGCCTGGGTTTCTATTAAAGTCGGATGCTGAGCTCCACGTCTGCCTCCACCTCCACCACCTCCTCCTCCTCCTCCAGTAGCGTTGGAACCTCTTCCTTCACCTCTTCCATGACGTCTCCCGCCACCACCACCGCCGCCACCAGCTTTTGGTGCTGTCGGTGTTGTAGGACTCTGTATTTTACCCGGACTAGCTGGTGTAACTGCTGGACCACTTGATGCAGCCGCAGAAGAACCAGAAACAGAGCTTTCGCGTTTAAGTAGTGTTGGCATTGTTGATGTAGAAACTGGCGGGGGGCCAGTATTTAAGGAGACCTGCTTCTTAAGGATAGCCACAGGAGTTGTATTTGCCTGAGGTGGTGAACCAGATGCAGTGGTGTTCGCACTTTCTTCACGCTCTAGACGATTGCGCCGGTCCCGACGGGAACCACCACGGGAACGAGGTGTTTTAGTTGCTGTTTCTTGCTGGGATTGTGGATTATTTGAAGAGAGGGTCGCATTAATTGCCGGTGGCGCATCAGATTGAACGGTAGCAGGAGCGGGGGTGGAATTGGTGCCTTCAACAACAGAAGCGGCAGTCTCAAGGGCAGTCTTGCTAACACGAGAACGACGAGGACCAGCAAGACCTAGATCGCGCTGAAGGATAGCTGCAACACTGCTTGCATTTCCGCGTTCCCGGCGTCTTTCTCTTTTTGGCTTCTCCGTATCGGCAGCTGGACTTTTTTCTAATTTCGATCCTGATCCGGAGCTAGACATATTGCGAAGTATACTTCCAACACCCGACCCTTCACGTCTGAGTGTCCCAACGCCTGATCCCTCACGCCTTAGGAGAGTTGCTGTCTCCATATCAACAGTCCTAGCTGCCTGCTTGGTGGCTTTGTCTTCCTTATCGTTATCGTCCTTGTCCTTTCCTTTTCCTCTGCTCTTCTCAAGCCGCCGTTTCTCTGACCGCCTCATCGAGCCTTCTTTCCCGTCTTTATCTTTTGATCTATCAGACTTAGATCTCCCTCCTGTTGAAGCCTTATCAGAGGCTGCCGCAGCCTTTTGCTGCTTAATGAACTCGACAAGAGGTGTTGTTTTGGGCTTCCCTTCTTTCTCCGGAGTTGGCAAAGGGGCAGATAAGGGATCATCTTGGACGACTGTACGCCCACCAGCAGTCGCTGCACCGTCAGTGGTGGTTCCATCAGCTTGAGCGCCATCACCTGCTGTGGGAACAGCAGATGATCCATTGAGAGATGCGATAAAGGTGATAAAATCTGGATCACTATCAATAGTTCCAGCCCTAGCATCTACACGAATGCCTTTTTTCGGGAATTTCTGAAAAGGTGCATATTCCATCTGTGGGTTTGTGGCGTTGCCTTTAGAATCCACAAATTGGCCATGGTTACGGAGAGCATCGTTGAGAGCAGTTATTTGTGCAGGTGTTTTAAATTTGATATAGCAGCGTGAGAAGGTAGGTAGTTTGTTACGACTGCATATTTTATATTATCAGTGATGCTGTTTGGCATATGGAGAAGACCGGGAGAACTAACTCTGACGGAATTTTGCCCTGTATCCAACTAAACCACTCCGTAGTTTCTTCATTAATGTATTCTGCTAGAGCTTCTTTAAATTCTTCCTCTTTAAGCAAACTTGGAAGATGGCGGACGACGATCCTCAAGCGGACAGTAGCTTGATTTCCACCACCACCACCACCACCACCCCCACCCGTACCACCACCGCCTTTGCTACCCCCACCGGTCCTCGACCGTGATTTAGGTTTTTCTAGAATGGTTGGAGCTGTTGTCGACATAGCTAAATAGCTAAATAAGTGCTTGTTTTGATCAGCTACAGACGTGAATGGATGATGAGTTAAATACAATGTAGTTGCGGAAGGTCTTGAGTGAGAAGAGGCGAGGCCACCAACCAATGCTTACGTAATAACACACTAAGTTTACGCATGAGAGAGCTGAAGTGGGATAGTTGTGGTGGCGTTTCTTGAGAGAGCCCCACAGTTTGTGACGTTTTTGATTCTGGCCAGGCACCTGCGTTTATCGTTTGCCTAATCAACAAGCAAGCAAGCAGAGGTGATTATTCAAGCGCCCGACCTCAAAGCACTGCCTTACTGCTTCACCAGCTAAAGTCGTGACATTGGTAATTATACCACCTAGACCATTTACAAGCCGTCGCTCTAGTCTGTCCAATAACGCCCCCCCTCTGCCCCTCTGCCCCCTTCCGTTCAGCTCTATCTGTCTTTATCCAGACTATTCCTGACCGTCTAACCCCAAAGGCCAGCTCATCCCGCACCTATCGGTAATCCGTCTACTGGACCCCTCCACCTCTAGATCTCGCAACCATACCGTTCAGTCAGCTCATCCCGGTTTTCCTCCCCCTCACACACGTACCAAACCCCCCATCTCCAACATCTACTTCTCCGTCATCTCAGCCTACAGGTGGTAGCAGAACCCCAGTATCCCGAACCAATCACCGCACATCTACAGTCCTTACTAGCAACAATATGAATCCGGCCGGCGAGAAGGGTGGTGGCCCAGCTGCAGCCACTAGCGGGGGTCCCGATCAATGGTTGGAACAAGCAAAAAAATGTAAATATCTGACGGAAGGGGATATGAAAAAGTTATGTGAGCTTGTCAAGGAGTGCTTGATGGAGGGTTCGTATCTCAGATCTGCTTCTCGTATCCCCACTGCCTTATCTATAAACCATGTATGTAGAGTGGATAAACTAAATGAATCCGTTTTTCGGGGGTGCGCCAATAGAGTCGAACATTCAGCCTGTATCAACACCCGTTACGGTATGCGGTGATATCCATGGTCAGTTTTATGATCTCATGGAGTTATTCAATGTGGGTGGAGGCTTGCCGGACAAGGTCAACTACGTTTTTCTGGGCGATTTCGTCGATCGAGGGTATTTCTCGCTGGAGACATTTACATTATTGATGTGTTTGAAAGCAAAGTCTGTCTCCCAAAATGCCACTCATGGTTTCTCAGCAACATATCAGGGTCGCACTGGTCATGTACGGGAAACTTGTATAATGGCATTTGCTAACCTGATAAATTTACAGATACCCCGACCGGATAACTCTTGTACGCGGAAACCACGAATCTCGTCAAATTACCCAAGTTTACGGTTTCTACGAGGAATGCCAAACGAAATACGGTAACGCTAGTGTATGGAAATCATGTTGTCAAGTTTTTGATTTCTTGGCGCTTGCAGCAATCATTGACGGCAGTGTACTGTGTGTACATGGGGGGCTCAGCCCTGAGATCAGAACATTGGACCAGATAAGAGTTGTTGCAAGGGCACAGGAAATTCCACACGAAGGAGCATTTTGTGATTTGGTTTGGAGTGATCCAGAAGGTACGTTCATTCTACCTAGAAAGCTAGATAAACCCCTGCATATTCAATTCTAGAAGACCAATAGCTGATGAGATGTGAGAACAGATGTAGAAACATGGGCTGTATCACCTCGAGGGGCCGGGTGGTTATTTGGTGATAAAGTAGCGACAGAGGTATGGGTCCTCATTCTAAAATTATTCGACAACATGCTTACTTCTTACTATTAGTTTAATCATGTAAACGGTTTATCACTAATAGCGCGTGCCCATCAGCTGGTAAATGAAGGATACAAAGTAAGACCCCTATTTCTTTTTTTCCTCTCCAGCCTAGGAATTTCGCGATTATAGTAACTTATTTGTACTGCAGTATCACTTTAAAAATAAAGATGTGGTAACTGTTTGGTCGGCACCAAACTATTGTTACCGCTGCGGAAATGTGGCAAGTATCATGAAACTCGAGAAAGACCTCTCACCGAGTTTCACCATATTTCAAGCAGTGCCGGATGATCAAAGGATCATCCCAGCTGGGAGGGGAGGGCGAAGCGAATATTTCCTGTAAACCTTCAAGTTATACTTTTTTAACGAGATGGAACTTTATATATGCGCAAAACTCCAACAAAAGGACCTCTATTATGGACCTGGTTGAGAAAAGCGTGCTGGTTTCTTACGAAGCGACGCATCATGCATTATATCTTTCGGTGTCTGGGTTGTGGGCAGTTTTCTTTCTTGTAGGCTGTTTGTTAGTCTGGGTCTGGGTTGTTTGGGGCCGGGGGATAAGAGGGTCAACGTTGGGAGTCTTGCTGCGATTTTGTTGAGTTTTTTTTTTCTTCTTTTTTCCAACTGTCTTCTTCCTTCTATGTAAGAGGTTTTTTGTGCAGTGTTTGAGGCAGGAGCTTTTGGGTGGATTGCTGCCTTACAGTCTAGATTCATATAGTTAAGATGGTATGCAATGGTAGTTATGGGGTTCTGGGTATATACGAATTTTACTTTCTCACAGTTAATCATAGGCTTTTTTAAAAGTCCTAGTAGTCCTCTACATTCTTTAAAGAACTAGGATGAATTATAAGAACAATAAATAGATCCGTGGTAGTATAAGTTGTAGTTGGTTTTCTGATCACCAAGGCCTGGCGTACCTAATATATTATCACAGATTATAATCCTGACCCATTAATGAATTAAAAAAAAAAAAAAAAAACCCCTGACCCATTTTCAACGAGTGATACTCGGTGAAGCTTCAAAATAGCACACTAACACGGGCTACATATGTATATTATTTAGTCCCCCACGAGTCTCAACAAAGTTTGAACGATATAAACCATCGAGTCTGCTGGACAACGGGGAGAGCTCTCCGGTGACCAACTACATGGACGTGTTGTAGCGCGGGTCAGTCGTCTAGTGCGCTTATAATCAACGCATACATACATGTACGCACGTATATGCGTATGTTCGACGGTTGGGATACGTTGGAGGCTAGAGTCGAGGGATATGTGTCCAGTATATATGGCTCTATATACATGTGAGCTTCAAGCCCTCGAGAACAATAACATCTAGGATTTTTACTCCTTCAATTTACGCCCCCCTCCCCGCCCCTCCCCCTTCCCCCCAGTACTTCCCATAAATTCAGAGATACATACATCATATATCGTCCTGCAGCACCTGATATCGAATAGTTACACACAGATATGTGACGCTCTATCCCTTGGTTTTGATTTCAGATGAAGTAGATTTCTGACCCTGAAAAACGACTACGCAGATAAGTAAGCATACAGCTAGCGAAATGTCACCTGGACTAGTGTCCAGGTAGCCGGACTCTTCCTGTCACTACTTAGCGGAAATGTCAACGACAGCTTCCTAATTTTGGCCCAGGACTCTGGAAACGGATGGTTACCACTATCAGTAGCGATTGTGATATATCAATCGTTGCAACAGCAAATACTGCGTGACCCGTTGCAGAGCTCCGGAGTAATCCAACCACACACCCTTGCCTTTGTCCGGCCCTAATACTAATGGACAGGCCGTTTTATTGGATATTGCACTACTCACTAAGCCTAATTGGGAATTTATTACGCTTTACTAGGCCGTCCAATGAGGTAATGAGCTAGAGGTATCGTAATGTGAGTTTTTGGTGCTTGAGTTCTTCAACCAAATAGTTCGCTCGAGATATTCCTCAGATTCGTCATACTGCTACGATTAGGAATTCCTTAAAGACGGTAAAGTCTTCCTGGAATCAAGAGGCGGTTAATGGTTTTGCATAATGTTAATCCGTCAGAGTTATAATTGTAGCTCCATATAGTTAATGACTTGCATGCCCTGCAGCCTGGAATTAAACCCTTTGGCGGGGTTGTGACGCAACCAACGCCCGAGTGATTATTCATGATCATCAAACTCACCACACACAAAATACGACAGGGTCAGTAACCAACCAGCCCCTTCGCCAAGGCCTCCTCCTTGCCTGACATCTCCTGCACAGATCACAACAAAACACCAAGCACCGTGCAAGATGGCTATGGAATTCGACTTCTCGAGTGTGAACCTAAGGTGCGTGTATCTTGCGTCTATCTATCCATATAGGTCTATAGCTGACCACGTTGAGGTTTAGGCACCAATCGATATTCGCTTCGAATAGATCAGCTACGGAAGGTTCGTGTGGCCCGGCCGCATTGCATTGCAGGGAGCTCTCGGAGCTTGGGAGACAAGCAAGCAAGCACTGACGTTATTGAACACCAGTGGAACCGGGACTTTTAAGTCCAAACCAGGGCGGCTATCTCAGTGAGATTGACTTTGAGAGCACTCTCGTAGATGTCGATCCGTATGGTGGTATGTCTCCTCCTCCTCCTCCTCCTCCTCCTCCCCTCCCACCGGTCGCAATCATGGCCGTGATATCGTCGGCCTTGGCTTAACACCAGCTATCTACACAGATGAAGAAATCAATCATAGCACCCGTCCCGAGCGGGTCGCAGCCATCGAAATTTCCACGCACGGTGACCTGATCCTCGAGCTCACCTTCAAGCGCGGACAAGCGCGCTTCCGCGTTTCATCACAAGTCCTGTGCCTAGCGTCACCGGTGTTCCGAGCCATGCTCGGTCCGAATTCGTCGTTTCGGGAAGCGTGCGAGCTGCGCAGTCACGCCACTGCTGGCGGTGGTACGGCGGATGCGGAGCCGTATGTGCTGCCGCTGGAGGACGATGATCCGGAGGCGATGGCGATCGTGCTGTTTGCGCTGCACCTGCAGAACTCGAAGCTGCCGAAGTTCATCAAGGAGAAGCGCACGATCTGGAACATGGCCATTATCTGCGACAAGTATGATTGTACGTCGGCGTTCAGTGTGTGGGTGGACGGGTGGGCGGACGGGTGGCGGCGCAGGGCGTTTAGGAATAGTGGGCATGGGCTGTGGTTGTTTATCAGTTGGACGTTTGGGCTGGGGGATGTGTTTACGTTCATCTCGAAGAAGCTCATCCTCGAGGGGTACTACCAGACGGAGGGGGGTAAGTTCCTGAGTAAAGAGGGATGGAACCTGGACGGATTGGCGATCCCGGAACCAGTTATGGGTGAGTAGGACCCATATCCAAGTGTACTCTCCTGGGTTTTCGGGAGCTATTCTAACGAAGGTGCGGTAGAAATCATCCTAAACACACGCCGGACAGCAATCACGGCAATGATCGAAGAAGTACTAACAATGCTCAACAAGTTCCTCGCCGGCGGAGACGGCAAGCCGCTCTGCAACGCCGCCTCCCCACTCGAGGACTGCGACCTCATGATCCTGGGCACCCTGATACGGGAATGCCAGGTTCGCCTGGGCATCTACCCCGACCACAAAAAGTACCTCCTCATGAGCGTCAAGGACGTGCACGAGAAGCTGCGGAGCATCAAGCCGCGCTCCGTGGGCGACCTGTCGCGCGGTGGGGGCCATGGGGCTCCGTGCTATTACGATTTCTATCTGCTGCACAACAGGCTGGATAGGACGTTGGCGGGCATTGGGGGGCTGGAGTTGGCGGATTTTGGGTCTCGCCAGGGATTGCCGATACGGAGGGTTGAGACGGGGGCGGGAAGGAATCCGGCGCAGGATGAGGTGTATACGCCGTCGCTGACTTGTGAGCATCATCTTTCTTACTTTCCACTGCGGTGTAGGGTCAGAATAGCTAATGAGATTGTTTTTTTTAGTGATCAAGAAGCTGTTTTATCCGAAACGAAGGCAGTCGTCGAGTGCGCATCTTGCATAAACACCAATTATTACGTTGGTGTGTAATTTACTATCGGTTTCGGGAGAGCACCAGTGGTTTATATTACGATGGGATGATGGGTTTATGGGCGAACTGGAGCGAGGGAATGTTTTAGTTATATAATACATGTACTTTGTATAGCCTGGATCAAAGAAAGCTACATAACGACTCAATGACACTTGTATCCACATTGGGCATGTCACACTGTTTGGGCACAAAGGGATAGAGTTACAGTAGGCACTGTAGCGTTCCGCCAACGTGAGGCAGCTTCCCACACTGATACTCCCGCTGACTAAGCACCACCACACCGAACAGAGACCCAACGCGTGCACCTGTGACCCTCTTCTCCCTTGCCTGCCTGCCTGCCTGCCAAATTCCACATCCCAGCAATAATTAAACAGCCCGCAACCAGCCCCACACAGCACAGCACTCACACACACACTCTCACACACACTCTCACACACACACACACCCCGTCCGTCAAAAGGCTTATCCCACCACCCCATGCAGCAGCCCCAGCCAGCCCCGCTAGCCCCGGGCGCGCCAGGCCGCGCACAGCTAGAGGCCATGGTCAAGCTCGTGCATGACGTAACCGGCCGCCCGCTCAACGAGATCAGGACGGACCTCGAGCACACGCGCGACCCGCAGAGAACCATCGTGAGGATCATGGAGGGCGAGGTATGTTGTGTCTTTCTGTCCTGTGGTGTTTGCGTTTGGCTGGGGCGGGGCGCTTGGGGTGTTTTGTTTGGGGGCGGGGGAAGTGCTGATGGGCCAGTTTTTGAAAGGGACGGCGAGGGATCCGGGGGTGAGGAACGGGAACGGGAACGGGAATGGCAATGGCAATGGGGGTGGACGGGCGGGTGCCGGGGGTGCGGGTGCGGGTGCGGGTGCGGGTGCGGGTATGGGCGAGAATGTGCATATGGGTATGGGTATGGGGAATGTTCCGGACCGTGCGGTGCAGATGCTGGATCCTCAACTGGCACCACCGCCGCCGCCGCTGCTGCCGCCGGTGGTGCACAACAACTGGCCGTGGAGGGAAAGTGGGAGAGAAGGAGAACGGGATACGGCCAGTAGAAGCCCCGAGAAGAAGAAGCACGTACCTGTTTCTGTTCTGTTCTACCCCCAACAAGGTCTGGCTGGTATGGTTACTGAGACTCCCGCTAGGAATGCGCCGATGCAGGTTATCGATCTCTGCGACTCGGAGGACGAATCACTGCCGGCATCCCCGCCGTTTATCCCCCAGCCACAGCGGGCGATACAGCCGTCGCCGGAAACACGGCGGAGGAGCCCCGGCGCAGATCAGGCCGCCAGCACGAGGTGGACACACGCGCGGCGGGACCCCGCGGGCGAACCGCGGGCACCTCCGCCTCTACCGCTGCTCTCGGCCCCCTTCGAACCAGCGGAGCGGCCGGTCTCGCACTCTCGGGGTCCTGTAGTTGCGGAAAGCAGTAGTGCAGCCCCTCCGGTTAGTAGCAACAACGCATGGACGACCCCCGTACGGCCTCGACCCCCGCCGGCGAGACACCATGTACCGTCTGCGCCCCCGTCGCCTCCTCCGCCGCAGCCGGCGTTCAGCGCCTCCCCGCTGTTCCGATACCAGGATTCTGTGTCCCCGCCGCCTTCATCGTCGCCGAAGCCGCGGGTTGTGACGCACGCTGATTTCCGCGTCGACCCTGCTGCGGCCCCGCCGCCACCGGTGTTCAAGACGTCCGTGGCGGCGGGGAAGCGGGTGAAGCTCGATGTCATCGCCATTGACTCCAACTCTGACCCTGACACCGACTCGGGCGGGCCAGCGCCGCGCGGTGCGGTCTCTGTCCCCAACACAGACTCGATCCCGAGGCGAGCGCGGAGGGATAGGCACTCTCCCTCTTCTTCACCGACAAAAGAGCCGGCGCTGAGTGCTGCGACGCGCTCGCTGCTGCAGGAGTTTGAGGAGGAAGCGCGCGGGGGCGAGGGGGAGGATGATGATGATGATGGGGGGCTGGTTGTGGGCGCGGGTAGGAAGCGGAAGAAAAAGGCGCCGGCGAAGAGCGCAAAGGCGAAAGCCACCGCCGCCGCGAAACGGAAGACGAAGCCTCCTCCTCCAGAGGTGTTGGCGGAAGAGGCGGCGGCGGTGGAGGAAAACGAAGGCACGGTCGAAGAGCAGCCAGCTGCGGCGGTGGCGGCAAAGAAAAGCGCCCGCCGCGCCGCTGAGAAAGAGGCCACCGAAGAGCAGCCAGCCGCGGCGGCAAAGAAAAGCACCCGCCTCACCGACGCCGAGAAGGCCCGCCGCGCCGCCGAGAAAGAGGCCGCCAAAGAAGCCGCCAAGCTGCAGCGCCAGCAAGAACGCGAAGCCAAGGCCGCCGAACGGGAGGAAGCAAAGGCGCAGAAGAAGCGGGAGCGCGAGGCCAAAGAGCTCGAGAAGAGGCAGGAGCAGGAGCTGTCACTAGCGAATAAGCTGCGCATGTCGCGGAAGGACTCTGTGCAGGAGATGATCGTGGACATGTCGCAGCACCTCAAGGAGTCTGCGGCGGGCCAGTCGCTGGCGCGCTTCCTGGCGGGGTTGGGATGCGAGGTGAATACTACCTGGTATCCGGCTCTGCCCGAGGGCACGGCGGAGTGGCGGGTGGTGAAGTGGCGGAGGAAGGTGACGGCGCAGTGGGATGAGGGGCGCGCGCTGTTTGTGCCCTTGCCGGCCATGAAGGTCGCCGACGAGTGCCATCTGCTTGTCTACCTCACTGCGCAGGAGTTCTGGCAGCTGGCGGAGGGTGCGGAGGAGGCTAGGCTGGCGGGGCATGTTCAGCTGGTGAGTGGCTTCTCGCCGGGGATGCAGGAGGTGAAGGTGTTGTATCTGCTGGAGGGGGTGGAGACATTTATCCGCAAGAACCGGAACAATAGGAATAGGGAGTACCAGAACAGGGTTCGCGCGGCGCTGGGCGAGGGGGCGAGTATTCCGGCGGACGCAGAGATCCTGGACGAAGACGTGCTGCAGGACGCACTGTTGGAGCTCCAGATCGTCCATGGATGTCTTGTACACCACACTGCGTCGGGCATCGAGTCGGCGGAGTGGATCAGTAAGTTTACGACCGACATCTCGACTATTCCTTACAAGTAAGTTTCCCCCCTCCCCCCTCTCCCCCTTTTATCGGTGCTGATGTCTGCTTTGCCTGCTGCTAGGAACTCGCGGAGCGCAATCGGCGCAGCAGGCTTCTGCACAGTCGCCGGCCAGCTCCGCGTCGGTATCGGCAAGGCAGATACGTTCCGCCGCATGCTGGAGGAGATCCATCGCGTGACGCCGAGCGCGGCGGAGGCGGTGGTGCGCGTGTATCCGGATGTGCGGGCGCTCGTCGCGGCGTTTGCGGAGTGCGGGGAGGAGGTGTTGGCGGATTTGCCGGTATGTGTTGTTCTTCTTTTTATATCTGCTATGTGTTAGTCATGGCTTGAAGATTCTAGGCGGGGGAATTGGGGGGTTGGGGATGTGGGTATGGAGAAGAGCTAATGGATGGGGTTGATGCAGATCTCGACAACAAGGCATGGGAGGACAACCGATAAGACTGTGGGGCCGTCGATTAGTAGGAGGATTTGTGGAGTGTTTATGGATAGGGATCCGGATAGTGTTGAGATCTAGCTGCTTCCTTCCCTTTCTCTTTAGAATCCTTTTTTTTTTTTTTTTTTTTTGCCTTCTTGGTGTTTTTTTTTGCTTTCTGGCAGGGGTCTTTTGCTTGGTGCTTACGGGATTCGGCTAAGGATTCGATACATTACATGTGCAGAACTGGAGATGGATTGGCGTTGGTTAGTTATATAATTATGTGGTGGTGGTGGCTGTGAATAATATTGTTAGCTACTGGTGCTTAGGCCGTGTTTTTTGCGGTGGTGATGGTGATGATGTTGTGATGATGTTGTGATGATGGTGATGATGGTGATGATGGTGATGTTGAGAGTGGGCGGGAGTGGGAGTGAGCGGTGGGTGGGAGTGAGTGAGTGGGTTCGGCGAGTGATATTTTATGAATGCAAACCAAGCCTGCACAAGCAGGACAACTACCCAACGCCAAGCCCCACAATACTTGACTTAGATCCATTCCATACATGTAGCTAGCCCACACATCAACGCCCGTCTGGTTAAAGTACGGGTCCGCAGAACAAATCATCTTGAGGGGTAAACACGGGCTTGGTACGGTATGTCGAGCTGGGAGTGTATGGTAAGGTTAATGAAGCACCGGAGTAGCTTCTATCAGTGGGGAAATCATTCGTCATTCATGACGCTCGCGGTGCCAATGGCTCCCGTATAAGGGAAAGTAGAAGACACGGGCCCAGACTTGGGTTCGAGGATCGTGTGTAAGAAGACCCAAGGGTAGTAGAACGCATGGTTCTATTACGAAGGAGGATGAAAGTTCATTTATCTACTTATACAATTACCGCACGAGGGGACAGACACTCCTCTAGAACTCCGCCATCCTCCCGGGTAGCAGAGTTAGTATGAAAGCCCGTACTACTAGGAGGACATACACTTAGGCATAGTTAATTGTGGGAAGAGATCCATCCAGAGGAAAGACTGAAACAACCGCACCAACTACCCGGTATCCACGCTTCAATTCCCTCCGGGCTGTCGCGGGAGTAAAGCTGTACGTCCCCGCCCATGATATGTATACCAGAAGAGTTGGCAGTTTGGGATTATGCCATATAAACCACCCATCGAGACATCAAGCCAGCAGGCACAGTGTCCTCTCATGAATCATGATCAGCTTGCAATTGATGTCAGCTTATGGGCACACAGTATTGGCCGGGCCAAGTCCGTCCGCCCCGAGCTAAGCAAAGAATCCAGGGTCTCGGTCTCAATGGCACAGCGTCTATCTACCCTCATGTACCAGTACAAGTTCGCCAATTCACAACCCCACCAATATCGTGGTACCGGCAGGTATTGTCTCAATCAACATCACGGTGTATCACTCACGGTAAAGTAAGCATAAACTTGAATCCCCACCCCGGGGGATACGCACTAGTACAGTGCAGTACGGTAAGCACCCAATCCCCACCCCCTACACCCCACACGCGCGCGCCGCCGCCGCCACCCGGTACGCAGTCCATCTACCGGCGACTAACTAGCGCACCCAGCCCACGTTGTCTCTCGAACGCGCGTTTCTTCCAGTCCAAGACTTTTACCAAGTGCCTTCACCCCTTCCCCCCAACCCCCACCCAACGCCCCAACTCGGGCCATTGCTTGTTCCAAGTCGGAATTGCAAGAGGGGAGGGGATGAGGTTCAATTTTTCGGCCTCCGGAAGAAAGAATCCCAAATACCGTGTTAATTTCTTCTTTGAGGCTTTCAGGAGCAACAGATGCGGTTTCACGATGACGGATCACATCACATCGCATCACGGTAAGGTGGGTGGGGTGGCTGGCTGCAGATACTGAGATTGCTTGGCAGGGACCGTTTCATGTTTACTCGCTAGCGTAGCCGGGGTTGGGTTTGTTTACAGCTAGGGGCCGTTTTAACCTTTTAACCATAATATGCAAACCACACGATAGGACTGATGAATGAAAGAGTTTTTAGGTAGGCACGAAAAGTATTTCAATTCTTCTAGAGAGATGATGCATACTTCTGCCTATCTAGATGTGCGGGCCCACCACAACTTGCCCGCCCCGCCTAGCTCTACTACCACTCCTCCTCCTCCTCCCCTCTCTCCCCACTGTTTAGGATATACAAACTGCTACATCTATAACAGTAAAAAAAATTAAAGAAAACCAACATGTGTATAATAACCACGCAATGCATAATTCCCCATTAGACCACTTTAGTAAAGAAAAAAAGACACCTCAAAACCCATTTCAGGCCATTATTTCACACCTCGTTTCACAACAGAAGTCGAAGATATTTAGCAAGCCAAAGAGATCTTCAACGACTTGTCGCTGTTAGCGACGCCAAAGTGCTGCTCAACACCGGCAGAGCGGTTGGGCTCATCGAAGGTGCTGAAGAAGAAGTACGGGATGTTATCGGTCTGGAGAGCACAGGTGGCAGACTTCCAGTATGCCTGGAGGTTGTCAACAGTGGGGACGGCAGAGCCGAAGTTGTCACCGCCAGTGGGCCAGCCGGTCTCGCCGATCATGAAGGGCTTGCCGTTGATGACAGCCTTGGTGGCGGCAATGGACTGGTAGAAGATGTCCTTGGCCTGCTCGATGGTGGATCCCTGCCAGTAGGGGAAGCCGTTCATCATGATGATCTGCGGTTATGTTAGTATTATTGTTCGAGTATGAGTGAGAGAGTGGATTTCTTACATCAGAAGCCTCAATGACGATGGCGTTGGTGCCGTTGACCCATGAGGTCCAAGTGTCCGCACATCCAACCAGGACACCGGCCTTGTACGCCTCATTGACCATCCCCTTGACGTCCCAGATCTGGATAGCAAGCTTGGTGGGGTCAATCTCCATTCTGTACAGTGACTCGGAGCCAACATTGACACCAGCCAACCAGTCGGTTCCCCATGTCTGCATGGCATACTCCAAAGCGGCCTTCTCGGCGTTGAACTTTGCCTCATCAACGGCCCATACACCGGCCCAGATCTTTGCGCCAACCGCCTGGGCGGCAGGGACAGCCATCTTCAGGGTGTCGCAGTCGTTGGTGGAGTACAGCTTGAAGGTGTTGTACTTGACGGTGCTGGTGGACCAGCCCTGGACAGTCTGGAAGTCCTTGGTCCAGTCGGCGGTGGTCTTGCAGGACCCGTCGGGGTTTGTAGCGCCCATGTTGAAGCCGTTTTCGAAGTTGGCAACGGGGGTGGCGGAGACGACGGCGGCGGCCGCGGCGAAGAGGAGGGTGCTGAGTGAGTACTTCATGTTTGTGGTAGTTTGTTTTAGAGGAATTAGAATGTAAATTGCAGTAGTAGCAAAAGAGTGTAAAGTAAGTTGTAGATTAAGTTATTAACGATAGTGGGCTCGAAAGCAATAGGGCTGTTTGAAGTGAGTGAACGTGAGTGAGTGGGATAAACGAAAGGAGGGGGGGGGGATGGGATAGAATGGGCAGTATTTAAGGAGAATTCAATGTCTACCTGTCTACATGTAGAATACAACGTACCCTAGCTACGGAGACAGACCCACCCGCCGCCGTAGATTGTTCTACCTATTCCGGGAGGTCAGGTTAGCTTAGACCTGGCAAACATATTGCCCCCCCCCATACTCCCATACTCGTACATACACCGAGCACAGGCCCTGGTTGGCTGGCCGTTTGAAAAACGCGGGAAATAAAGAATCTCGAATCTTGATTCCATAGCAAGGGTTCATGCAATCCACCTTGGACCACCCACACACACACCAGCCCAGCCCAGCCAATCCCTGCGCTGTTTACCCCTGCGCTAGCACTTTTACTCTAGGTGCAAGCCCGGTCTTGGCAGAATGTAGATCTCTCGGGCCCTCCCCTCCTCCACCAAAGATAGAAACCCTGGGGGACTTGCACGGGATGAGCTTGAGAAAAATAAAAAGAGGGAGCGCTTGGTTTTTCCGTAAGCCCACTACCACTTTTATCTCCACCGTCGTGACGACTGGCTGGTACTACGGTTGGGCAGTGGGTATGTAATTTACCAAGAGGATTGGGATTGGAAGATGGAAAGCCTAGTAATCAGTACCCCATTGAGTAGGGAGTACGTGGTAAGGGATGAGCTGAGGGAATGATCATGGGCCTGCTCTCTCGACTCTGTGCTGCTGGAATAGGAGGCGGTGTGTAAATAAACTACCTACATACATCACCATCATCGTACGGAAGGTTAGCTGCACTGCAGCTCAGTTGACGATTGCAGCAGTGAACCATAAATCCAGCGCGCGCTACAAGTTGGTACATACACTGGTTGTTGTTGACATCGGGTGGGTACAACACAAAAAACGTCCAGAGGCGTTTAAAGGCAGCGGGTAGCAGATTTGAGACCTTTGTGGCTCCCCCAGCGGATGACAACGGTTTGGTTTCCCGGTGCAGCTTGCCCGGCCAGGTTCGTTCGTTACTTTTGGCTTTTTTGAGAAAAATGTGGATGTGGGGTTGAGGTTTTGTTTTTTGCCCTCCTCAAGATACGAACATGGCTTGCTTGCGTGGCCACGATACCAAACTACAAACATCTACGTGGAAGAATTGAGTTCTGTTTATCAGTTCTGCAAGCCTCTAAAAGAGCACCTCGTATAAAAAAAACCGGGAAAATAGTAAACTAAGGGGGCCAAGAACTTTAAAAAAAAAATTGCGGGACCCAGAAATAGCACGTCGTCGTCGTCGTCGTCGTTCATCTGATCTGATCGCCATGTGATGGGCAGTGTTCGGCGGGTTTAGAGTAATCTAGAAGCCTTTCTGTGCAAGGAATGATTCGTAGGCCAGTCTTGGGGTGCGTACGGATTGTTCAGCAAGACGTTTCTCGTTGGCCCACTTAGCGATTTGTTAATGATCACTCTGCCTGAACGGCCAACTGGAATTGAGTCCAGCGCCGTGGCCATTGAGGGTTCACAATATGTCCAGGGAAACGAACTTCTCTGTGGAATCTTTGCCCGAGCTGACATGGCTTTCTTTACCAGTGCTCCCAAGTGACGTCCATCTGTCCACGAAGGAGAGATATCACGGACCTGCCTGTCAATTGAGAGCCTCTGGCTATCCATTCCCAATGCAAACAACAGCCTCGTATTATTTTCTGGGATAGCAGGCATCTGGAGATTGGGTTAGAAATGCCAGTAGAGGCAGAGCATGCGCAGCTGGGAATACCCATCAAGTCAGCTGGCCATGGGTAACTCTATCTCTGCCCGGGACTCGGACTCGGACTCGGTATCCTCCTGGCTTGACATCAAACACTCATGACCAAAGCTGCCGGAACGTTTGCTAGCCCACTTCTCGTCGCATAAGCAGCAGGTCCCCCAAAACTTGAATCGGCTTCCTCGGCGGCCGCCCGCCGGACGGGCCTCGTCGGTCGGGGCGTGTTTGGTTTTCCATGGTCAAGGTCGTGCAAGGTCCGGGGGCACGCATAGAGTACATGCCCTTAATTTGCACGCAGGGGAATCCAAGGACGGGGGGATCTGGGATTAACATGGCAGTATATTAATATATTGGGGTTCCTATTTCGGCACTCTACTTGAAAGAGAATATGGTTCGAGGATCCGGATTAGAAATGTGGTTTTCCTGTCGGATCCTACTACTGTATGTACCTGTAGTTAACAATCCCACTTTTGGATGCGCAAATAATCACCCCCCACCCATGCCTCTGCTGGAAGTTTACTATTCCTCCAGGCTTCTTCGAACTTCTCCTCCTCGGCACGTATTACACAATCCCGATCCAACAGCAGCAACAAAAAAACACACAAACATAAAAAAAACAAAATTAATTACAGTACCCACACGTAACTACCTGTCAATCGTTCCCCCTTGAAATTGCTCTACCATACATGTACCACTGTTATGGTTATTCCACCACCACCACCACCACCACCACAGCCCACCGTTTCATCTTCTGCTCGCTTAGAAACCCTGGACCCATCCTGGCCAATTCCTCTTTTGCTTGGGACCTGAGAAAGAATATTAGCTAACAAGGCATCCGGGAGACTCCGTGCACCGTCTTCATGGCTTAGTTGGTTAAAGCGTCGGTCTCATATCTCACAATATGACTGGGTCACTTAGATCTGGATATCCGAAGGTCGCGAGTTCGACTCTCGCTGAGGACATTACCTTTTGCTCGGAGTCGGGAGGGGGGAGATGTTTTGGTGTTTTGGTGTTTTTAAAGTTCTAGTTGGTGGTGGGGTTGAGGCGGGGCGGGGGTGGGGTTGGGAGGTGAAGATTTTTGCATGGTGGAGGTTAGGATCGCTAGGGTTGACAAATGATTACTGTTAAAACGTAAACTGAATGGCTCCAGAGTGGCCCCAGAGATGGCCTGGATCTCTACGCTCACGGCTCACTTGATGGGTGGTGCCAGTGGGAAACCCCATTAACTTCTTCGGGGTGCCTACAGATTAATTCCACCGATTGTGTGGTGGGTTCACAGAACATCACTCGTACGATTTCTCTCTTTCCAGTCTGCGAACGATTGATTGATTGATTGATTGATTGATTACTTCAGTCTGCGAACGAACCACATGATGAAGAGAGGAAACTGCACAACCCATATCTACATCTTACTCAGGCGGCTTAACTCGAGACAAAAATACCACCGCAAAGCACTAATGTGAAAGATTCCGTGAAGGGGATCGAAAAAATCCCCCGTGAAGTTCTACGTTTCGTCGCGGGTTCCCTTATGCAAATGCCTTCCCACAAAACCTAGAAGCGCAGCGCAGATAGAAATTGGCTTAGAGTGTGCTCTACTGCACTTTTCTGTGGCTTCCAATTGCAATTCCTGATCGATTGGGCTCTACGTGGTATAGGTATCAAAGTGCAAGCCCAATATTACTGCGTCCGCTGCTCTAGAGCGCTGCACTCGAACAGAACACCGCTCCTCCCCCGGAACCTAACACCCTTAGGAAACAAAAAAAAAAAAAAAAAAAAAAAAAAAAAAAGGAAAAAACAACCCATCAATCCAACCTCTCGCTTAACTTTATTCAGTCACTGCACCTGCACTTTGGCCAACCTGCGCTTTGCATCCTTTCGCAGTGGAGGTGAGGATTTTGTTTATATACGCCAATTTACCCGGTTAAAACCAGTCTTCATGGCTTAGTTGGTTAAAGCGTCGGTCTCATAATTATGACTGGGTCTTTAGATCTGGAAATCCGAAGGTCGCGAGTTCGACTCTCGCTGAGGACATTCATTACTTTTTACCTTTTTTTTTTTCTAGTGGGAATGGTGAAGGAAGCGGGGATGGGGTCTTTTTGCGGCGGGCGCAGGTGGGGAGAGGTTGGGTGTGTAGATTAGAGGGTCATGGGGGATCACTCGGATGACGGGTGATGTGCTATTGATTGATTGAATACTTATTGATTAATTGTATGGGTGATGTGCTATGGTTATTGACGCCGTGTACTCTACTGTTTTAATGGAAATTCACAGCTTTTCTGATACAGGAGCACCCGGGTTTAAGTCGACCACCTAGATTACCAGATACCCAGCCCACAAACCCCTCAATTGAAAACCTCACAGCTACCCCAATATCTCATCAGTGCACCCACCACCACCACCTTATCAGGATCTAGCTACCGCCATTTCAAACCCCACATTGCACAATCCACATAGTCATTGCAAGAAAGAGGGGGAAAAAAAAAAAGAAGAAAAGAAAAAAAAAACCATACGTACAACAGAAAAGAAACGAAAAAAAAAAGGGATCTGGAAATCTATTATTACCCCCCCCCCAAAAAAAAACCCAAACCTCACTTAAGCCTTGATGAGTTAGTACCACTTCTTGAGGTCGTCCTCGTCGTCGATATCCTCATCGGCCATGACTGCCATCCGCTGCTTTGGCCTCGGGGGCGGTGGTTTCGCGACGGGTAGTGTCTTGGGCTGTGGTTTTGGCTTTGGCTTTTTCGGCTTCTTGCTGGTCGTCGTCGTAGTCGTAGTCGTAGTGGTATCTGTCGTAGCTGTCATAGCTGTCGTAGTGGCCAGCGGGGGCAGTGAGGAAGAAGAAGAAGACGAAGGGACGGACAGCGGCAGCGGCAGTGAAGAAGGGCCACCCCCATAAAACCCACCCCCCAAAAAGTCCTCCAACCCCTCCTGCCCCTCCCCCTCCCCTTCCAACTCCACACTCTCCAACCCTCCCCCTCCCCCGCCCCCGCCCCCCCCGCTCTTCGCAACCACCACCTCCCCCGCCGCCCCAATCGCCACCCGTTCCCTCTCAAACCTCACCAGCTCCTCCCTCCACGCGCCCTTCCTCTCCTCCACCTGCGCCCTCCGCCCCGCCGCCCACCGCTCAAACCCCTTCTCCGCATCCGTGTCGCCACCCTGTGACTCCTCCGCGGCGGCCACGAGCGCAGATAGCTCTAGTAGCTGTGCGTGCAGGGCTGCGGCGTGCGATTGCGCGGCGCTGAGGGTGCCGCTGAGGCTGCTGAGGGTGCGTAGGTGCGCGTGTAGTGACGTGGTGGTGGTGTGGTGCGCGGTGAGGTGCGTGTTGAGGCTTGTGATGAGGGCGTGGGCGGTGCGGGCGAGTGTGTCGTTTTGGGCGGCGGTGGTGAGGAGGCGGGTGTGTGGTAGTCTGTGGGGGGGGAGGGAGGGAGGGGGTGTTAGTGGTGAGGGTGGAGAGAGCGGGGGAGAGGGAGAGGGAGAGGGAGAGGGAGGGGGAGGGGGGGGTTACTCAGACAGGAATTCGCGTGTTAGCGGGAGGTTCGACAGTCTATCGTATCGTCAGTTAGTGTCTGTGAATAGCATCTCCAAATCTTCCCCCCCAGACCCAACTCACATCTCCTCCGTCTGCTCCTTCGTCGCCCTACACACACCGTTAGCACATCACATCCCCATCCCCATCCCCATCTCATCTACCCCGCGCCGCCATCTCAAGGAAAAAAACGTACATCGCAACATCCTCGCCACCCCCGTTCCCCCCACTCCCACCAAGGCGCTGCACAAACCCCCGTATCCGCTCCATGGCCGAAGAAGAAGAAGAAGAAGAAGCGCAAGTAGTCGCGCTGCGTGTGCCGCGGTCGCTCGTAAAGACAGTCAAGACAGCGCTAGAGGCGCAAGGCGTATTCGGGCGGCAGATCTCGCGGGTCGCTGCTTGTTCAGCAGAAGAAGGTTCCGCAGAAGAGATGTTCTCGATCACGACGACAATCCCCGCCGGTAGCGGTAGCGACAACGACGCCGACGCCGACCAGCTCCTCGCCTCCCTGCACCTCCCCTCCCACTCTCTCACAACCACCGCCCCCACCACCCCGCGGTGCAAACACACCAACCCCCTCACCACCGCCCTGCACTCCCTCCTCACGACCCTCCCCCTCCCCCCCAGCACCCTCGCCGCCCTCCTCGCAACCGCCCCAACCCACTACACGCACCACCCCCCCCTCCTCCTCCTCCCCACCGGCACCTTCAGTCACACCCTCTGGCAGTCCCTCCTCCCCACCCTCCCCCCCACGTTCTTCGCCACCCTCGCCAGCGCCCTGGGTTGCACGCACCTCGCCATCAACGCGCCCATCCCGCCCTCCTCCACCACCCGCTCCCCGCTCGCCCTCACGCCGCTCCACGGCGCCTTCACCGACCCCCCGCTCTGGGTGCGCGCCGTCCAGAACGGCATCGTCCAGGTGTGGCCGCCGGCACACTGCATGTTCAGCCGCGGCAACGTCAAGGAGAAGGCGCGCGTGCTGCGCTTCCCCCGGGTGGAGGGGGAGCAGGTGGTGGATCTGTATGCGGGCATTGGGTATTTTGCGTTTTCGTATGCTGCGGCGGGGGCGGCGCGGGTGTGGTGCTGGGAGGTGAGTAGTTGGAGCGTCGAGGCGCTGCGGCGGGGCGCGGGTGAGAATGGGTGGGTTGTTGAGGTTGTTGAGGAGGGGGGTGAGGTGGTGGGCGGGGTGCGGGGGCTGGATGAGGGGGGGGTGGGGATTGTGGTGTTTCGGGAGAGTAATGAGTGTGCGGTGGGCAGGCTGCGGGCGTTGGGGGTGCGCGGGGTGAGGCATGTGAATATGGGGTATCTGCCGGATTGTAGGGCGGTGTGGCCGGCGGCGGCGGAGATCCTGGGGGACGGGGGGGTCGCGCATGTGCATGGGAATGTTGCGGTGGGGGCGGAGGGGGAGTATTCGCAGGAGGTTGTGGAGAGCTTTGGCGGGCTGCTGGGGGAGAGGGGGAGGGGGAGGGTGAGCTGTGAGCATGTGGAGGTGGTCAAGACCTATGCGCCGGGAGTGGTGCATTGTGTTTTTGATATCAAGATTGAGGACCAGCAGTAGTGCAGTAATAATATTATTCTTAGAATGTAGATACTAAAAAATACAAAGAATATCTTGTATAGCTCCTTCCCCTCCTCTAAACCGAGTGATTGACACCGGAAATGCTCATATGGATAGATGGATATTTGTTTGGCCCTTTTCGTGCCCTCGTTACTTCTTACTCCCGGCGCTTCGTATTATCATATCATACAATGGCCACTCGATGCCACGTCCCCGAACCCCCCTCCCATCTAGCTCCGCGCCCGGAACTTGTTCGGAATGTTCTTCTCAATGATCGGACTCTGCTCCAAGATCGCCTGCGCAATCTCCGCATCCTCCTCCTCATCATGCGTCCTAAACTACACCCCCGACTCCCGTCAGCACTCAAACTCAAACCCACCGCCCTCTCATCCCCGTCAAACCCAATAGGAAGAAAAAAAAACTCACATGCTCAATATCCTCCGGATGATTCAGCTCCTCCTCCGTGCTATCCTCATTATGGTACTTCTCAAAATGGTGAATCTCATACTCATACTCCGGGTCGCCATGGTGTCCCGGGCCTAGGCCAAAATCCGGGAGTGTATTCCCCGCATGTATAAACGCCTGAAACTCGGCCATCGTGATCTCGCCGTCGGGTCTGCCGGTGTTAATCAAGTCCGCGACCGTCTCCCACACATGCTGCTTCGTCTCCTCGCTGGCGGTGCTGTCTGGCTGCTCCAGGCCGTAGAAGCGCAGCACCTCGTCGCGCGTCCACGTGCCGCTGTTGTCGAAATCGTGCAGGTGGAAGAAGGCGCCCGAGTCGAAGTTGTAGATGTGGTGCTCCTCCTGCATGTGCCGTTCGGACCAGGTTAGGTCGCCTTCGGCGTCGTGGCTGGGATGGCCGTGGGAGAGGGCGTGGTGGGCGAAGAGGAGGAGGGCAGCGGGAGTGAAGTGGTGGAGGTGCATTGTGGTGTGGTTTGGAGGTTTGGAGATTTGGAGGTTTGGAGGGCGCTGTGTGGTTGGTTTGATGGAGATGAGGAATTGTAAAGGTGATGAATTGGAGAGCTGGCTTCATCATGATCTTGCCCCTGATCTGAGGTGAGCGACCGGCCCGCGCCACCGGGTCGCGGTCATCATGCAGGGGTGCACGTGTGCCAAGATGCGGTCATCTGAAACAAAGACATGATAAAGAGGTGCTCCATTTAGTAGTTATTGAAAATAGGAGCTCGAGCTGCTCGCGCCTGTGTGTATCATAATGCTGTGTCAAGCTTTGATATGGAGATTTGGGGTGCTTGTTAGATAAGGTGAGTGATGCTCTGTGATGCTGGCGAAGCAATCATTGCTTGATAGTGTTGGGTATGCATTGCTCCGGTCATCAAGGGATACAGGAGATAAGTGTCTGTTAGATTAAGATGTTATTCCTCGGTAGATATCCGCAGGATGAGGGTCCACGGGACACAGCCAGGGACGCACGCGGCGACACAGACCCGCCCGCATATAACTACATGATTATACGGCGAAAAGCCAGCTGAAGGAAGACTCAACAGGTAACAACAGGATGAATGATTGTATCACGGAGGAGGAGGATGAGAGGCTGTCTACTTATACATAGAATAGGGCACGTATAGAGAGCTAGACTGTGGGCACCGTTACTAAGACCACCTTACACCAGCGTACATATATCGATCGCCAGGTCGCTTCGTTGTCGAGTGACATTCTGTGATTAGACTTGAGATATCACTCGGAGGTGCAAGACGAATTGTTTAAGATACCTCTAAGATACCGCAACCCTAAATTCTATATACAAGCCCAACGCCAACCAACTCCAAAGCCCACTAACAGACCACACAAACCCACAGCTCAAGCCCCCAAATGTATAAACGGCGCCCACTTCCTCGGCAACAACGGATTCTTCCCCCTCGCCTCCAGCACCGCATCCCTCAGCGCCCTACTAACCTTCAAATGCCCCTCCTCACTCCCCTTCCCATCAAACAGGGCCTTATAAAAGGCCACCGCAATCTCCGTACACACCGCCGACTCGGCCGGCCACATCGTCGCCAGCACATGGTTAAACCCCGCCAGCTGAAACCCGCTCGCAATATGTATAATCTCGTCGGCCAGCTGCGTCGCCGCATTGTTCGCGGTCGAGCATGCCGAGAGATACGCAATCTGCGCCGTCTTTGCGTTCTTGCGCGAGATGGCGGCCACGGTGAGGCTGTCGGCTGTGTTGCTGTCCTTTTGGAGCATGAGGTGGCTCTCCGAGGGGTCGTAGGCGTTGGACACGCCGTGGCAGGCAAAGTGCATTACCTCGAAGGAGCCGAATTGCTTGAGCACGTCGTCGGCGCTGGGGTGCTCTAGATGCTTGGAGACTAGGCCCTTTGTGATGTCCATGATGCCTTCGACCTCCTTTCCGACGTCCGGAAGGGCACCTCCGCCGGGTGTTTTGGTCATGCTGACGAGAAGGAGGCGGGGGTCCGGCTTGCTGAATATGCTGAGCTTCTTCCCCCGGGCGTATGAAAGCGCCTTTATAGTCGGCGTGTATGAAGAGATTACATGGCTTAACGCATTCTCAGTCGAGCCTCGGGAGTGGTCTCCAGCTGCATGGAATGGCGCTATGTTCAGCCTGCCAGTACCAATCCACCAGACGTGAGGCGGCTTGTCAACTTTAGAGTTACCATGCTCGTCTATGATCTCTAGATGCTGGAGAACAGGCTTCACAGCAGCATTCCACAGCCACAGGAGCATTTCCCGCATCTTCTGATTGCGTTCGGCATACTCACGCATTTCAGCTGCAGGCGATTTCTTCTTCTTCGACTTCTTTGCTGGGGTTTCAAAGATGACGCTTAGTCGATCTTGAATATCATCAAAATTCAGGTCTGGAAGCGGTAATGCGGTAATTGAAGAGCTTGTGAGGATGATTGCATCGCTCCGATAGCTGGAGCTGACAAAAGTGACCACCGGGCCATCCTTTGCCCAAGATTTCAACTCCTCTTCAGAAGGCGCAAGCTGGAATCCTTCACAGCCAGGAAGCTTTCGGATCTCCTTTAATATTTCCTCCATCTCTTGAAGCGCTTCTTCTCGTCTCTTGAAGGCGCGGCTTCGAGCTTGCAGATATGCCTCCTCCGTTTGAAACGAGCGGGAGTCGGCAGTATGGCTATCGTAACTATCTGGCAGCGGGGTGTCGATTTCAGTTCTAAGATCTTCCAATTTCTGGAATTTCTCGGGGTGTCTCTCTTTGAGATCCGATATATCGCCTCGATAGTCGATGGTAGACCCTATGATGATTCCACGACTGAGCTCCAACAGGCCAAGGGCGTGATATGCAGATTTCCCAGCCTGAAGAGCCACACAGGCGGCTGTTGCGGGGAGCCCGCTTATTTTCAATAGCATTTGCTGCTTATCTTGCCCCTCGAGCGACCGTGTACTCACTTTGGGAAGCATCCGGATGGCGTCCTCGAGCATCTGGCTTGATTCTTCCCATCTACCAACTTGGACGAGAGCCCCAGCGGCGTATCGTGCTCCATTGATACGAGCCAAGGGAGCCGAATGATGGCATTCCCAGGCCTCAATAAACAGCTGTACAGTATCATTATCGGCTCCATCAAAAACTTCCGTGCGAATCAAGCCCAAATTAACCAAAAAGCCTGCGCGATCAGTGTGGTCCTTTGGCACTACTGAGAGCGCTTCTTCAGCGTAGTAAAGGGCTTTTTTCATTTCCAACTCATCCCTTTTCTCCTCCCCCAAATTCTTCTGCGTGAGGAAGGCGGCCAGATTCGACATAAACTTGTGCCGTGTCGTATCTCCCGGCAGCGCCACCTCCAAAAGCTCTTCCATAATCTCTGTGGCCCTCACGAGGTCCGCCCGATCTCTTGTATAGTAGTATTTCGCCTCCAGGCACCCCGCCAGATTGGATAGCGGGATGTAGCTTCTAGGTTCCATCGGCGGGGTTTGTTCCACCGCTGCTTCGGCGCATATTATCATTTCCTCGAGATTCTCTTGCGTGGCGGCCCGCTTGAACATCATGTACTGAAGCCTGGCCAGGTTATGAAAAATCGGGACTCGTACTTCCTCGTCCCCCCATCGATGTGCCACTGTGATTCCTTCTTTGGCGTACAGTATCGACCGTCGGAGGTCATCCAGGTCGCCCTTGCGTTCGTATCTCGAACCCAGGCTGAGAGATATCATTGACAGGTGATCGACTCTATTGACAGTGGGGTCATTCAGCGCTACCGCTTCCTCGTTATAATGAATAGCATTGTCGAGAGTCTCCAGATCCCCAGTATCTTGATACTCCCTTGCCAGGTAGCTCGCCAGATCCGTCAAGGCCCCAGCTCGGTTTGGGTGGCCGGGAGGCGTCAATTCCAGCACTTCCCTCGCATGCTTTATGGCCTCACCAACCGCCTTCAAATCCCCCGTCTGCATATAATCGTCAATCAAGAGCCGACACAATCCCACCAGCGCCTCCCCCCTCCCCGGATGAAGCCGCGGCGTCGCCTCCACCCGCCTCCTAAAGAACGCCACCATCCTCCTAAAGTCGCCCACATCTTTCGACTCCTTATACACCTCTCTCAAAAAGTTGACCACATTTGCCACCAGATGACTCCAGTCCGGACCGTCCTGCGGCATCGTCTCCGTCACCTCCTCCCAGCACACCGCCGCCTTCCTCAGATCATCGATATCCCCCAAGAGCTGATACCTCGCCCACAGATGCTTCGCCAGATTATTGACCCTCCCACTCCTATGGAGCGCGCTCGCCCTCCCCGAGTACTCGACCGCCTCCCGCCCGTAGTGCACCGCCATCTGCAAGTCCTCAATGTCCGCCGTCTGCTTATACTTGCGCTCAAAAAACACACACGCCTTCGAGCACGTGCTCGCCCGCTCCTCGACATCCGGCTCCCCCTCGAGCTCCGACATGACGGCGAGCGCAATCTCGCAGTACGTTATCGCCTCCTCGATATCCGCCAGCAGGCCCGTCCTTACGTGCTTCATGCTCATAAATACTGCCGTGTTGGCCAGATGCTGTACCTGCGTTGGGGTGTCTTGCGTTAGCTCGATGGCCTCTTTGGCATACTGGGTGGCACCATCAAGGTATTCGATTGCGCCGGTGTGCTTGTAGCATCTATTTAGACCCTTGTAGAGGCCTCCGACGAGGTCGGCGCGGCGGGCATCGTCAGTGTCGTCGGGGGGGAGGGCGGAGAGTGCCGATTGGAGGGCTGCTAGTGATTCGTGTAGGTCTGTGAGGTCGTGGGTGGTGTCGTATTGGTCGTCGAGGGTTTTGGAGAGCTCTTGGAAATGTTTGATGAGCTCTGAGGGGTCTGTTGGTAGTGTACTGGACATCTTTAGGAGGTTGTTAGTTATTACTAATTACTTGTGAATATTAGGTTTTTTAGGGGTATACTTGTGTGTATGTGTAAATATCGCGGGTCTGTTGAGGGCTATGGGAGTGGGGGTATATAATTAAACAATAACTAATTGAAGGCTAATATGCCTCTCTCTTGTTTGGCCGGATGTCTCTTTTTATTTATCCCGCTGGTACCTAGCGGGATTTTATGCTTAAAACCGCATGAGAACAATTTGGTTGGCAGCGGCGCAGTCTTGCCTTGTGTAACGAACACAAGATATTGGTTACTTACCGGACCGGCTATTGGCTGCTAGTGGCTATGCTAAAAGTCTTGTCTGGCTGTACCAGTGTCGCAGTACATACATGCGCTCCACTCTAGCAGGAAAGTGGTTTAAAAAAAGATCCAGGCTGAGGATATCGGTACTGCGGAAGTTATCGTCAGTTATCGTCAGTACAGTTCTGCACTTTTATATAAGTGCCCACTACCACGACTGCCGCTTACTCAACTAAAATATTACAAGTGCATATCTACTATTAAGCGATATCCAACCAACATTCTTACCGTTCAATCCAAATAAGCATCTTACCTACTATTCCCAAGAATGAAGCAGCCCCGCTCTCTCATCCAGCCCACGCTTCTCTCCCCAACCTCGATAAAACTCGGCCGTCTGGTACTCTCCCCCTACTCTCCGCACCAAGACTACCTCGATCCGCCGGTTCCTACTGCCCCCGAGATCGAGACCCGCTCGCAGTCCAACTTCATCTCGCACCTGACGTCCAGCAGCACCACAAAGCTGCGCACACGCCTCACCGCGCTCGTCGCCGCGTCCCGCAGCGCCTCGGCGTCGGCCAGCGTCACGCTGGAGGCCGCGCAGGGCACAACATACACGCTGCTCAACAGCGGCGGCTGGTTCCGGGCGGCGTGTAGGTTTGCGGAGGTGCGCGAGTGGTTTGAGAACGCCGTGATGTGTGCGGGGACGGTATACCTGGTGGTAGGATACCACACGCTGACGGATACGAAATTTGTGGCGCAGGACGAGGGCGCCGAGATTAATACTGGGGGCATCGTGATTTCGAGTGGGATTTTGGGACCCGGGTTAAGTGGTGTTGAAGGAGAGGGTGGGATTCAGAAGCAGAAGTCCTGGGGTGGAAGAAAGGAGTGGCATGAGAGCGAGGAGAGGGTATGGGCGGTACAGTATAGGAAGGTGGAGTTTAAGTGGTTCTCTAGTAAGAGGATCGAGAAGGGCGCGTTGGAGAAAGAAAATCGGTGGAAGCTGTGCTGGACTGGGATGGAGGGTATCAGGGGCTATAAGGAGGAAGAGGAGGAGGAGGAGGAGGAGGAGGACAGCGGAAGCGGAGAGGATGAAGAGGACGAAGATGATGAAGATGTGCTGGAAGTAGATTTGGCAGACGAGGATGAATTGGGATCCAAGGACAGGTGTGTCATGGGCGAAGAGGAATTTCTCTTTTAGGATTTAATTATTAGTTTTCGATGTATATATTTGATTTGGGCTTGATCTGTTAACTTAGCTACTTGCACGCAGTGAGTGTATGAAGTATGGCGCCATACGTCATTAGAGCCATTGGTCAAAGGACCGAGTGACATAATGTGAACCAGCCTTGTTTAGCAATATCATTAATATTCATTGATGAGTTGCTTAATTGAGTCCCGCCGAAAGTCGTTAATACCCGTGATATAGGTACATGTATGTATATGAGCTTTAGTACTGGCCTCAAGGTAGGGAAGATACATGTAGAGAGCTTGGTTGACAGAGGAGCCGGAGAAGATTGAAGGAGAGGAAAGAGGGAGATCAACATCTGTAGCTTTATTTGCAGATGAGGCTGGCCACCTATCTTCACCCGCACTTCAGCCACGTCGCTTTCTGCGAGCGCCCTCTTATAGCTGCAGTACATACATGTAATCATCTCCAAACAAGTGCAAAAGAGATCGAGGGGGGGCGGTTCTCATGTAGGCTAGCTCCGTCTAGCATCGCTACGTCCTCAGCCAGTGTTTAGTGATCAACTAATTAACCCACCAAAATCTCAGCGTTGCGCTTAGGGGAGCTTAGGTGAGCCCTGTGTCTTGCTAAATTAATTTCGTACTGGCCTACGATATCTCCAGCGAACTCTAGCCACCGTGCTAATGGATTGAAGTATGGTAGGTTTTACTCTAGCTATTAAGCTTCCACCCTTTCATTGAAAGAAGTCTTCCACCTCCCTGCCCCACTACAACTCAAGAACCACACCGCCGGGCCCTCTCAACTACATGGTCATCTGCACGCTAACGATACTCACAGCAATCTATCCATTCCATTTATCATAAAGAAGTGAGTAAGAACAAAGCTACCTTACTAACACACACATCCACACGCACACATACACCAGGGCATCATGTCTCGCTCATTACCATGCATAAAAATCCACAAAATAGTACAAAACGAAAAAAGCACACCCCATAAAAATACACTTCCGCCGCCAAATGCATGTCTAACCCCAAGTACCACCACCACCTCCTCTTCCTTGTCTCTTCTGCGCAGACAACCGCCACGAGTCGTCGCCGTCGCCGAAGCGGTTGAATAGCGGCTGGATCCGTTCGTTCTTTCTCCGTTTTGATAGCTCGCCTTTCCCACCGCCGACTTTGAAGAAGTTGGGGGCACACTCGACTGTACGGTTTGATTAGCTTACTATGAGAGTATAATAGGGGTGGTGATGGGGACGTACCTAGCCACTTCGGTTCAATAGCAGTAGTACAGTGCATGTACTCCTTCGTCGTCATGACCAGCGTATGAAAGATGACATGTTCCGCCGGCTTTCCAAACAGCGCCGAACTGGGATGCATATACACCGGCGTGCCCTCAATCAAAGTCTTGTACCCCTCCAGCGGGTCCTTCCTAGCACTGTTTCTGAAGAAGCCCGAACACAGCGCCTGTCTAACCATCATGGTATTCCTGCCGCAAGACACAATCTTATGGCGGTACCTAGACATGATCATCTCCAGCTGTGCCCTCACATCCTTGGCACGCTTCATAGACCGCGCCTGAATAAAGTTGTCAAAGCACCATGGATTGGAGTACGCAGACTGTTTCCATGAGTTGTACACATTGAGCAGCGTCAGGTGGTCACCGTGAGGGTCGTGGAACTTGGCCTTTTTGGCATCGGCGGCGGCTTGTTTTTCTTTGGGGCGGTAGAAGACGGTCTGTACGGACAACATGGCGACGATGCTGAGCATCTCGTCACTGCAGCCCATGTCGACACTTGCAATCAACACCTTGGCTAGTGCAGGTTCCATAGGGAAATCAGCCATCTTGCGACCAAGACGTGTTAGTAGTCCTTCGTCGTCGAGGGCGGAGAGTGCATAGAGCTCCTCAAGCGCTGTTAACATAGTGTTGGTGGGGGGCGGGTCCATAAAGTCGAAATGCAGCAAATCGTTGATCCCCATTGCCTTCAACATCAAAATAGTAGTTGACAAGTTCTGTCGCTGAATCTCGGGGATGGATGTCGGTAACATTTCACTCTGGAAAGCAGCCTCCGTGTATAGTCTGTAACACTTTCCGGGCCCGGTACGTCCAGCTCTTCCGGCTCTCTGTTTGGCCTGTGCTTGTGAAATTGGCGTAACAACCAAACTGTCCATGCCGAGCTTGGGGTCGAAAGCGTTCTGTTTGACGAAACCGGGGTCGACGACGTAGTAGATTTGATCGATGGTGATGGATGTTTCTGCAATATTGGTGGCGATAACTACTTTTCTTGATCCTGGTGGGGCAGGGTCGAAAATCTTCGACTGCATCTCAGAAGGGAGGGCAGAGTAGACAGGTAGAATAATTAGATCCGGCACACTAGGTCCAAGGGCCTTCATCCGCTCATATAGAATCTCGCAGGAGGTATCAATCTCCTCTTGACCTGTCAAGAACAACAAAATGTCTCCGGGAGGTTCTGACAGATGGATTTGCATAACTGTGATAAGTGCTGCATCAAGATAATCGCTCTCCGGCTCCTTCGTATACAAAACTTCTACTGGGTATGTCCTTCCAGGAATCGTAAAAATAGGACACTGGTTAAAGTAATTCGAAAACTTTTCAGCATCCAACGTCGCCGAAGTAACAATCAATTTCAAATCCGGTCGCCTCTTTAAGGTCTTTTTGAGCAAACCAAACAACACATCCGTCGCAATTGTCCTCTCGTGAGCCTCGTCCAACATGATAACGCTATACCTCTTAAGATCTGGATCCAGCAATACTTCACGCTGCAGCATACCATCCGTCATGTACTTGATCTTAGTCTCGGGACTTGTACAATCCTCAAAACGAATGGTGTACCCAACTTCCTGACCCACTCGGCAGCCGACCTCCTCGGCGACACGCTTAGCTACCGACATGGCAGCGACACGACGCGGCTGAGTACAACCAATGATTCCTCGGTCTGCAAATCCTGCCTCGGCGAGATACTGTGTCATCTGTGTAGTCTTTCCTGAACCGGTATCTCCAACAACAATAAGCAACTGGTTCTCGTGAACAGCCTTGATGAGGGAGCTCCGGAGCTTGTAGACAGGAAGCGATTCACGCTGTTCTTTGATCGACATGCTTGTAATACGTCCAAAGGACATGTTCTTTGACATGGTAGCTTTCTTCCACTCCGGCATGTCGTCGGCACCTTTGTTCAAGCGTGTGCTCTTGAGATCACTTGCAAACTTCCTTTCCTCCGGAGCAACCATTGGATCTTGCCATTGGGCGGTAAGATCAACTTTTTGTGCCTCCTCAGCAGCCTGGTCAGCGGACTGCTGTTGTCGGAGCTCTCGGCGCTCTTTTGCCAATGCGGTGCCTCCCATGGCAGCTCTGTTGAGAGAGCCGTCTGGAGCTTTGACAACACGGATAGGCGAAAGCTCCAGGGATTGTCGGGTCTGACCAGCGAGAAACGGGGGTTCCTCGCCACGAACTTCGATATCAACGTCTTCCTCCTCTTCGAATTGGCCTTCGCCGGTAAGTGTCGCGTGGTACTCTTCATCAATATCCGGGTAGTCTGCTGCGCTGATGGCTCCGGATGCAATAAGCTGTTTGATTTCCCAGCGGTCGGGGGAGGTCATACGCTTCTTAGTCCGCATTGCTTTGTGATTGATTTCGCCCTCAAAGACAGGGACAGTCTCTGTGTCGAGAGAGCCGTAGCGGTTACTCGAACCGTCAAGAGACTCCATGTTTGCACCTGAAGCTATCCGCTTTGCGGGATCGAGGTCGCGACCTGTCTTCTGGTTGACGCTCTTCATCGATAGCCCAATACGCGAACCTTGGATGCTGATGATCTTGACCTTGACAGGCTGACCCTTGCCCAAAAGGTCTGATGGGTTATTGACACGCTCTTCCTGTATCTCAGAGACGTGAACGAGACCGTCGACTTTACCGCGGACACCCAAGAGGTTAACAAACGCGCCAAAGTCCTTTACGGAGGTGACCCTCCCATCGTAGATCTTGAAAAGAATCGGCTCGTCGTCCAGGTCCATCGCAGGTTTCTTGAAATCATCATCGTGATGACTGCGGCGCTCCCGCCCTCCACCGTAGCCTTTCCCACTGCCGTTACGATCCTCTAGATCCTCGTAACCGTCACGATGCCGTCGTCTCCGGCCGCGGTCGCGAGAGGCTGACCGCGAACGAGATCGATACCTGGAGCTCTTTCCGCCGCCGCCGTAGCTGGGACTGGGAGAGCGAGATCGCTTCCGTGAAGGTCTGTCAACCGGTTTAGAAGCCCGGCCGGGCTCCATCGACTCCAAAAAACCTAAGAGGTCGTCGCCACCAGCGGCGGGCTTCGAAGCTTGGGGAGCTTTTCCTTTCGCTTTTCCCTCCAGGTTCTCCAGCATGCTCATCATATCATCGATCGCATCCTTCCCCTTCCTCTCGTCCCGTTCCTCATCGTCTTTCCATGGTAGCTCCCGGTCAGGTAGCGCGAGACCCTTAAACACACGACTCTTTGTATCCAAGTCCATTCCCTTCTTCTCGCCGTCCTCCTTCGCCTCCTTGCGCTTATTCTTGTGCTTCGGATGCATCGTCAGGATGAGCCTATCGACGCTTGTAATCAGCGAGTCCGGAAACTCAACGCCCATCGCCGCAATCGCGGTCTTGAACTCGGCGGGCGACCCAGAGGTGTCATGGAGGTTGATTATGAACTCTGAGAGCGTCTTGTCGTTGATGCCGAGATGGTTGGAGAGCTCTGTGGTGATTTTGGAAACAAGAGAAAAATACTCCAGGTTCTGGAGCGGGTCGAGCGAATCCATTGTTTGCCGTCGGTGGGTGGTTTCTGGTATTTGCTGGCCTGACTGTTCCGTCGAGGGCTGGAGAAGCAGGAAGACAGCGTGGAGGACGCGATTTGAGTAATAAACGTGCAGGGTGTGGCGCAGTATTACATAAGTGTGGAGCTTGGTAGTCGAGCCACAGCCGAGTGACAGAACATGATAAGTATCTCCTATGACTACAATGTTGTTTTTGGTGTG